GGAATTTCCAGATTTTCTCGGAATCGGGCGTCTTCGTTTTTGGCTTTTCAGGTGATTAATTGGCTTATTAGTGCTTGCAGTGTTCGATTTAATTCGAAGTGGAGATTTTGAATCCGTTTTCTGTGAAATTGTAGAGAGAAGAAAGAGAGATGACGATCAAACCGGCGGTTCGAATCTCGGAACGGAAGCTGATCGTGAAGGACCGGACGATTCTGACGGGATTGCCGGACAATGTAGTGGCCACGTCCGGTTCGTCTTCCGGTCCGGTCGACGGGGTCTTCCTCGGCGCGAATTTCTCGGAGGAGAAAAGCCGGCACGTGGTTTCGTTAGGGACGCTTACCGGAGTCCGGTTCATGGCGTGCTTCCGGTTCAAGCTGTGGTGGATGGCCCAGAAGATGGGGGATCAGGGAAGGGACATACCTCTTGAGACTCAATTCCTATTGCTCGAGACCAAGCACGGGTCCCACCTGGAATCGGACGGCGGAGACGAAGAGAACCAGATCGTCTACACCGTGTTCCTCCCTCTCATCGAAGGCTCGTTCCGCGGTTGCCTGCAGGGCAACGCGAGCGACGAGCTCGAGCTCTGTTTGGAGAGCGGCGACGCCGACACCAAAGCGTCGTCGTTTTCCCACGCACTGCACGTCCATGCCGGGACGGACCCGTTCGGTACGATAACGGAAGCGATCAGGTCCGTCAAAGTTCACCTTCAGACGTTTCGTCAACGTCACGAGAAGAAACTCCCCGGATTCGTTGACTATTTCGGGTGGTGCACCTGGGACGCGTTTTACCGGGACGTGACTCAGGAGGACGTGGAGGCCGGGCTCGAGTCTTTAGCCGCCGGTGGAACACCTCCGAAGTTCGTTATCATCGACGATGGGTGGCAGTCCGTCGTCGGCGGCGACGACGGCGTTGAAAAGCAGGAGCCGCTAAGGCTGACTGGGATCAAAGAAAATTCAAAGTTTCAGAAGAAGGACGATCCGACAGTGGGGATTAAGAACATCGTCAGCATCGCGAAACAAAAGCACGGGTTGAAGTATGTGTACGTGTGGCACGCGATTACTGGCTACTGGGGCGGGGTCAGACCCGGAATCAAAGAGATGGAGGAATTCGGATCCTTGATGAAGTACCCGAACGTTTCCAGCGGTGTTGTGGCCAACGAGCCGACGTGGAAGACGGACGCGATGGCGGTGCGAGGGTTGGGGCTGGTGGATCCGAAGGGCGTGTACAAATTCTACAACGAATTGCACAGCTACTTGAGCTCTGCGGGTATTGACGGCGTTAAGGTGGACGTGCAGTGCATACTGGAAACTCTCGGAGCCGGGCTAGGCGGTCGGGTCGAGTTGACCCAGAAGTACCACCAGGCGCTGGACGCCTCAGTGGCGAGGAATTTCCCGGACAACGGCTGCATCGCGTGCATGAGCCACAATACTGACGCGCTCTACTGCTCCAAACAGACCGCCGTCGTGAGGGCGTCCGACGATTTCTACCCCCGCGACCCGGTGTCGCACACGATCCACATTGCGGCGGTTGCTTACAACAGCGTGTTTCTCGGCGAGTTTATGCTGCCAGACTGGGACATGTTCCAGTCGCTCCATCCGGCGGCTGAGTACCACGCTTCCGCCAGGGCCGTCAGTGGTGGGCCCATCTATGTCAGGTAATTAGAGATTTATCTCTTCTAATATCGAATTTTGTACGTTAATTTGTTTTGTAATTAGTAATTAATAATTGGTTTTTACAGTGACGCGCCTGGGAAGCACAATTTCGAGCTGCTGAGGAAGCTGGTGTTGCCGGACGGGTCAGTGCTTCGGGCCCGATTGCCTGGACGCCCGACGAAAGACTGCCTGTTCTCTGACCCGGCCCGCGACGGCGTGAGCTTGCTGAAGATATGGAACATGAACAAGTACACCGGAGTCCTCGGCGTCTACAACTGCCAAGGCGCAGCGTGGAGCACCGCGGAACGGAAGAACACGTTCCACGAAACCAAATCCGAGGCCATCACGGGTCTGATTCGCGGCCGCGACGTCCACCTGATTGCGGAGGCCGCCGTGGACAACGACTGGAAAGGCGACTGCGCCGTGTACAGTCACCGGACGGGAGAGAGCTGGTGACCCTTCCTTACAATGTGTCGATGCCGATTTCGCTCAAAGTGCTGGAGCACGAGGTTTTCACGGTGACTCCGATCAGGGTTTTGGGCGGCAGATTGAGTTTCGCGCCAATTGGACTGGTGGAGATGTACAATGCAGGCGGAGCAATTGAAGGGTTGGGATATGAACAGAACGGCGTCGTCCGATTGGAGGTTAAGGGCTGCGGCAAATTTGGCTTACTCTTCTGCTAAGCCCAGGAAGTGTCGGGTCGGGTCTAATGTGGTGGATTTTGAGTACGACTCGTCGTCTGGGTTGGTAATTTTGAGATTGGATCATTTGCCTGAGGACGGTCAGAAAGTTCATGTCGTTGAGATTGAATTATTAGAAGGAAATTAGACCGTTAGATGAAAATTGTTATGTGCGGTGTTGATTGAGTTCTGCAATTGTTGGAGAGAATTTTTAGAGTGCAGGAACATGACCCGTTATACAAAGTGGAATAATACGATTGGTTGAAAACTTGAAAAAAGATTTACAATCAATTGTATTAAGACACTTAGTGTAACATACGTGTTTTTGGTTTTCTTCACATTGTTGGGAGAAGGGAGGATATTTAAATAAATTTATTATATATTATATGATCATATGAACCAGTCTTGTAACACTAATGAATAAATGCATCAATATTATTCCATTTGTGAAAAAATTATTCGCATGTAAGATTAATCTAAATTTGGCCCTTTTGCTGGCGCTAATAGGGAGCAAGAGATGGATTTGATTTGATAATCAATGAATTGAGCAACAAAAATCATGGAAGCACTGTGCAGACTTCTAATTACGCTTGTTTCACACGGGTGGGCGGGTTATGACCCGAAAATCAAAACTTTAAAGACAAAACCCAACCTAGAGAATTACGGATGGGTCGGTTGGGTGACCCATGAGAATGCCCACCCCTACTGTCATGTGCAGAAAAAAATTGCATATAGCAATGCTTTATTGGACAAAAGACATCACGTAGTGGTAAACTCGTTCCATATAAGTTATTTTCACTTCGAAGAGGCTATGGTATGAATACACCAAAATGGTATTGTACCAAACCGAAACCATTTGGTTTAGGGATGATCAGGACTTGAAAATTACAATATCAAAATATCTCGTACTAGTCAAAATTTTCAATACCAACACTGGTTCTAACCTCATATGAACAATCTTGTAAATGTTTTTTTCCAACACACAAATTAGGGGTGGGCATCAAATTTACCAAAACGAAAATTAATCAATTAATTTTGGTTTAGTTTGACTTTGACCAATAAAAAAGTCAAATAATTTAAAATTTGAACCGATTTCCTTTTAGTTTGGTCCGATTTTCATACTTTTAAAACTGACTAAAACCACACTGAATCTATCATATATTTTAAAATAAATTGCATTAATCACATTTAAAGTAATGTTTGATATCCAAATGGTGTGACATAATTATTGTAATTGTAAGAGCATCTCCAATGAACTCTCTAAATGAGTTCTAGCTAAACTTTATAGAGGAATTTGAAAAAATCATCTCCAATCACACTATATAGTGACCTCCTTAGACATGGATTTTTCAGATATCCTAAATAAAGCTTATAGTATTAATTGCTAATATTTTAATAATATTTTAGAGAACTGTTATTTGCATACCAAAGATCTCATTTTACACTCCTCATAAGTGTATTTTTTTTTTCAGATATAGAAAGTTTGAAGTGCTGAATGAGAAATGTGGAATGCCAATAACAATTCCCATATTTTAAATAAAAACTCTTTTCGTGTTGGTATTAGTAACTTTACATTGTTGTATTCCTAAATGAAGTACGAACTAAATAAAAAAATATTAGATTGGACTAATATGAGTTGTTACAATTCAATAGAGTAATGAAATTGATTAATGTATAGAAAGTAATTGATACTTTTAATTGACAAATTAGAAAACGTGAAAGGTAGCTCCAGAGCATGAACAAAAAGCAGCTTTGTTTTTTAGATTTATGACGTAGGTACATTTATCATCATTTGATTTATTTGACGGTCAAGATTTAACATTGTAAAATCTATCAAAATACATAGAAACGTGTTACATGAATCTTCTCAAATCTTCCAAAATCTTCCAAAATCCATATGGATTTGTAGAAGTCTACATAATCCTACGAAATTCATCCCTTATCAAATATATTAAAATCATTTCGAAACCTAAGTTGACTACACCCCCTAAATCTATAGAATTGTGAATTTAATAATCGTATTAATCTCACAAGAGTGTTATATATACAGATATGTTAAGGTGCAAGACAACAATACTTGTCATATAGGTATACAATCACAGAATCATAATAGGAATCCTAAACCTATGAGAGACCGGATTCTTTGGTGTCTGTTTTAACAAAATCTAGTGCATAAGGTTTAGAATATGTAAATTGGCACGTTGCAAGTGATTTTCTCACAAGTACTTTTATGAATAAGAAGGTTGAAATTTTGCTAAAGTAAAAGTTTAAGCGCTTATTGGAAATCCACTTGCAATTGCTTCCTCTGAAAGCACTTATAAGTTCAACTGTTTTTGCCAAACTTGGTTAAAAGAGCTTTTGATTTATCTGAAAAGGCTTTGTATATATATCAAAGAGTCCCGTAGTTACTCACTGTTGGATTTAATTCAACGGTGGAGAAAAAATACAAACAACAAATCTACCGTTACCGTCGTATTAGCATCAAATGGCAGATGACCACATCTTCATTTGGAGAGTAAGAAAGGTGAAGTACAACTAATTTAGGTTGTCCATTATATGGTTTAGCCGAACTCTCCCTCTTCATGTAAAATACATCTTTGAAACACTATATAACATAACGTAGAGACAGGAGGAAGGTCGTAGTGGATTTAATTATATTTGTGCCGCCATGGAAAATAGACGTAGATCCCAGTCGTCCGTTGGAGCCCCGGTCTCTGAATATGTCCACTCAAAACTATCAAAAACATCAACATCATCAGAAGTGATGAGTGCTACTCATATTGCTGATCTCCCCGATGCTTTGTTGGCGGAAATAATTTCTCGGCTTCCAAGCAGTAGATTCGTTTTTCAATGCAAGTGCGTGTCCAAGCGTTGGCACACTCTCATCTCGGAATCTTATTTCATCGGCCGCTTTCTAGGTCTCCAAATTGACAAGCAAACGCCGATCATACGCACTCTGATAAGCGTGGAAGGAGAAGATTTACTTTCGAGACTGACACCATCGCCATCATCGTCGTCGTCAAAGGTGCTAACTCCGATGTTTGAAAGACTCAAGAGTTTCCACGGATTGAAAGAAGGTCCGTTTGTGGCAGGGACGTATAATGATTTGGTTTTGTGCCGCGACCACAAATATTTCGCTCGTTCGTACTACATATGCAATCCGCACACCTTGAGCTGGGTTGCGCTTCCTCCAGCCCCTACCCGAAGCAACAAGATAGCACACGTGGGATTCGTCTGCGATATGCCCTACTATAACTACGAGGAAGGCGATACAGAAGGACGACATGTCGTGCGGCTTAATGCTCAGTACAGGTGCAAGGTTGTTAGAATTCTTCCTCCTAGTGATGAGGAACTTACCTCCGATAAGTTTTTAATAGAGGTATTCTCTTCTGAGACGGGAGAATGGCGAGAGTCATTAATATCATGCCCGAGAAAACTCCATCATGTTATGTTTGATCGCTTCGGCTTTGCTTGCAACAGAAGGTTGTATTGGTCGAATTACGTTAAGGGCCGTCTTCTGGTTCTCGGGTTGGATCTGTTCAACGACGATAACATCACTGTCACTAGTAAAGACGGCGGTGTTGACGGTGAATGTCGTTTCATTGTATTCGATAAGCCTATGGATGAACACTCCATTCAGTGCCTAGGTGATCAGTGTGGAGGGCGTCTGCATATGTATGAGCTGGACATTGTCGGGAGAAGTTTGTACGTTTGGGAGTTGAAAGAAGAAGATAATCAAGGAGATGGGAAATTATGTTTGAGTGAACACAGGGTTTGTTCCTTGGACCCCGAAATGTACCACGATGATGCATATCCACTTACATTGGCAAGTGTGGACCCAAATAACAAGGATGTTTGGTATCTGCGTGTGAATCAAGATATTGTAATGTGCAACATTCATACAAGGGAGTGGTCAACGATAGCTGAAAATAGTGCAATTGTTACGAGCATATACTTCTTCCCGTATGTGCCGTGGTGGCCGACACCCGTTCCTAGACTACCACAGCAGCGTGCTAATCGGCTAGCCCGCGGAGAGGAATTAGCCGCGAGCTAGGACATAGGAAGAACAAAAGTACCGATTTATTTAGTAAAACTGATATATGTTGTTCAGCAATGGCAACTAGTTTCTTTCTGTGTTGTATTTTTTTTCTTGTTTCGTTTTTGCTCCGCGGTCTCCTATCTGTCTGTGACCACATGTGTGATTTGAAGTTTAAGTAATAACAGCAGTTTACCGAGAAAAGCAGAAAATCTCAGTATTTATCAATGCAGGGATGATATACAGATAAACAAACACAAACCATTGTGACCTCAAACCCAAACAACATTCTCAGGATGTTCATGTTTGTGCACAGATAAAAGCAGGATGATGCAAACAAGTCTTGCTTCAGTTTTTTGGTCAATGGAAACTCCATTACTTTTATAGAGAGAGATTTTTTATGGTATTGGTAATGAAGTTGTCATGCAACGGTTTTAAACATGAAAACACAACAAGGGTTATTGTAAAATGTTGTATGACAAACTTTATGGATTAGTATATAAGTATTTTGTTTAGTACATTTTTGAATTTTATAATTTGTGACTTTATTGTTTGAAGACCCCCCCCCCAAAAAAAAAAAATTATGTAGATCTCTAGCTACATCCCTGGCAATACTACTTCGAGTTTGGTTGGTTATTAAAATTTTCAATACCAACACCGGTTCCAACCGCATATGAACTATCTTGTAAATGTATTTTCCAACACTCAAATTAGGGGTGGGAATCAAACTGACCAAAAGCGAACTTAATCTTGATTTTGAATCAATAAAAAAGTCAAATAATTGAAAGACTAAACCAATTTCTTTTTATTTGAGTCCGATTTTCATACTTTAAAACCCAACTAAAACCACACTGAATCGATCATATATTTTTATATAAATTGCATTAATCACATTTAAAGTAATGTCTGATATCCAAATAATGTGACATAACTATTGCAAGTGTAAGAGCATCTCCAACGAACTCTCTCTAAATGAATTTCAGGCTTCTAGCATTGATCACTAATATTTTAAATAAAAACTCTATTCGAGTTGGTAGTAGTAACTTTAAATATGTAATTTCGCTAAGGTAGGAACTAAACCAAAAATGTGTAATTTCGCCAAAGTAGAACAATCTAACTATGTAAACAAAGATTTTGGTCAGATTAGTTGCACCACGTAGCCCAAAAGTTGGATGTGAGACCCTCGACGTCACCGTAGTACTCAGCGCTAAACCAACCACATTGCTCCACGTAGCCCAAACTCATTAATCTCCCAATAGACAGAAAGGAGCACAAGTCCTTGAAACGGTCAATGCCCCAGGGAATCCCCTCCATTGCTTTCTTCTGAATCCATTTTCCGACACGAGTGTCTCGCACGTGTGATATTCTGTTATGAATTCAACCGTCTCCCGCCCTCTCTCTCTCTCAAACCATTTCAGACTGCAACTTCTGCTTCGCGCTCTCTCTCTCTAAAACCATTTCAGACCTTGGAGTTGGAGTTGAAAGCTTCAGGGGCCTGCAACAATTCAGGTAATTTATCTCACCTCCAAAACCTTACAAACTGTTGATTTTCCAAATCGAAAGAAAATTGATTGCTGCTTGTTCGTTGTTTTTTTGGTAATCCTCTGTGAAATTGTTCTTGATTTAGGTGATATACAGTTGGTACGCACATGCATGTGATGTTTTGTTTGTGAGATTCGATGGAAAATGAACTGCGATTGAACTACCTGATTTCTTGGAAATTTAGTACTCAGTGGTCTGTTTGGCTGCCGAGAAAATGGAGCGAAAGAAATCGATTACTACTATATACACATATGATAAAACGATCTATGAATGAATTGCGTAAGTGCTTGGTAATTCAGCAGTAACCAGAGAATCTTTTGTGCTCTGTTTGGCTGCCGAGAAAAGGGAGCAAAAGAAAAATGTTTACTACTATCTTAAGCCGTTCCTTTTATAGATACGCATTTGATAAAGCGATCTATAAGTGAACTGCGTGATTAATTTCTTGGAAATTGATCAGTAATCAGAGAATCTTTGTGCTCTGTTTGGCTGCTGAGAAAATGTAGGGAAAGTTAGGAAAATTTTGGATTTTTTTTTTTCCTTTTTTCCATTTGTTAATTCAGTAGTGCAGAATGCCAAGTAACGCTGAACTGATTAAAATTTCAATCTGTGAGCTAGTTAACATGGCTGAAAACTTTGTCCGATATCTGTATGCGTTTCTCAACGGAAACCCAATAGGCGTGACCTGGGCGCATGATGGAAATGGATTCCATCTGGACATATCCGAGGTTCCGCTAGATGTGTTTCAAGGGCCTTTCCAGCGTTCGATTGCAGGCTTTGAGAGCGAAGTGACGAGATGGGTAAACTTTAGTTTTCTTTTTTGTTTTAAGTAGTTGAATATTGTCACTGCGTTAAACTGAGAGGAAACTGAAACTTTAGTTTTCTAACTTTTCAGGGTTTTGTGGTGGAAGGCAATCATTACAGGCACAGGGATGATCTCTTCCTGAGAGACCAGCCAGAGTTGGTCGATGGTATAGTTCGTGACCCTTCCCCAGCTGCTTCTCCTCCGGCTGGTGCATCACCCCAGGCGGATGCAGCAGCTGTCATGCCTCCACTCCACGGTGCTCCTCCAGTTGCTGTCGTGCCTCCACTCCATGGTGCTCCTCCAGTTGCTGCCGCTGCAGCAGTGCCACTCGCTATTCTACCAGTTTGGGGGCGCAAATCCCAGCGAGGTCCAAGAATTCCACGAGCAGGAGCATGGGGATGGGCACCTTTTGAGTCGACTACTGCTATTGCACCGGGTTGGGGAGTTCGCATGGGCAGGACCCCAAGATATGAGGTCCCTTAGACCCCATATATCGGATGTGGTGATGGCCCTATCTTGCTCAAATTGATTACTGCTATTACACTTCAGAAATATTTCTTGGTGTCAGTCGCTCAATACAACCCCAAGCTTGCTGCTGAGAGGCATTCTCTAATAACGAATCTGCTCGTAATTCTTGAATGGAAACACCACTTGATACTGGTACTTGACTATTTGTTGGAGGGATAGGCATTTGTACCACTACCATATCATCTCTTACCCTCTTGGATTGCTCAGAATTATTATACTCTTGAGACAGTTCAGTTTTATATGGAAACACTTCTTCATCGTGTATTACATGTCTTGACAAAATCAACCTTCTATTCTTCAAATCATTGCATATTGCTCCTTTATACCCGAGGGCATAGCCAAGAAATACACACTGCGAAGATCGAGCTTGGAGCCTGTTAACAGCTTATGGTCTCATCAAGGGATAAATGGCAGTCCCAAACACCTTAAAATTATGAATCTCTGGAACTTTCCCAAACAAAAGCCGCTATGGAGATTTAAACTCCAAATTCTTAGATGGCATTCTATTAATTAGTAAAACTGCATAGGAACAAGCATGATACCAAAACATTTGTGGCAAGTTTGCTTCTGTTAGTAAAGTTATAGCAGTTTCCACTACATGGCTATGTCCCCTTTCAGAAATACCGTTCTGCTGAGGAGTGTTTGGACATGAAACCATGTGTGAAATGCCCTTGCTTGCTAGAAACTCCTCAAAATTTTTACTCATATACTCACCTCCTCCATCAGATTGAAAGCATTTAATTGAAGCATTAAACTGATTAAACACAAATGCAACAAACTTCACAAAAATTGAACAACCATCTGACTTCTTAATTATAGGAAATATCCACATGAATATGGAAAATTCATCTACAAAGGTTATGTAGTACTTATACCCTTATATAGATTTTACTGGAGATGGCACTCAATACATTGTTTGTCACTCAATTTGACCAACTTGTTTTTCCAAAATTGCGATTGCTCGATTATTTGCTTGCTTCCCTTGCGGAGGAATTCGATGCCCTTGAGTGAGCTTTTGTAAAAGTTGAGTGGTTGTTTGCTGACTGTATATTAGCTTGAACCATCAATGCAAAAAGCTTCTTCCATGTACGTTTATTGGGTTCCAAGGGTGTGGCTTCTTGTATAAACTCTTAGAATTGAGAATTAGAAGGTCAATGTTCCTTTGGCATTGTTTCCAAGCCATCAGGCATGTGCCTACAAAAAGAAAATTGAAAATAGTGAAAAAAAAAACAGAAGAGGACTTTTTTTTTTTTTTTAGCACGATGACATATTTTCACACTAAGGAGAGGGTGAGTTCAGCCAAGCAACTTAATTTAGTATCGAATTTGCTTTCTACGAGATTCGAACAAGAATTTACAGGAATATTTGGAACATTTCATTTTTGCCTCTCACTTACAAATGAAAAGGAATATCATCAGACCGTAGTAATAAATGACAACAAAAGAAAGCTAGTTGATTGAAAAGTAATTAAACCAAAGACTACTACTCCTAATAACTCACGAAGTTCAACACAAACAAAAAGACACCAAATAACTAAAGGACTTCAATTAGAAACTGAATTGGACAAAAAAGAAGGTTACCGTGTTTTTTATTTAAATAAAACAGAAAATAGAAAGAAAGAAAGAATGAATGAATAAGGAAAAAAAAAGAACTACACAAACAAAAATGGAAAACGGAAAAATAAAATTAAGTAAAGCACAATTAAGATTAAGGGGCAATTCCTGGCAACGACGCCAACAACTTGATGTATATTTAAACTAACCTAAATAATAGATTAATTTAAACCAAATTAAATTCGTAAGAGCACGAATCAATTGTAGTAAGATATGCAAATATAAGGTCGATCTCACATGTATTGCTTTAACACCAATTTAACCAACTAATCACGCTAGACTTAATTAAACAACAAAGGATAAATTGAATTGAATAATTGAGTAATTGATTAAGACTAAAATTAACAAGAAAAAAGAAAAGACAATTAATTAAAATAAACATACGACACAAGAAAACCTATGGTTATGAATTCTCCAATAAAAATCCTATTTACATCTCCAAGAGCCAACTACTATCCAATTACCATGTCAATGTTAAAGGTTGTTCTTTTTAATGTATGAATTAATCTATGGTCAGGCATCAACTATCTCTACGTGATAATTATATCTTATTGGTTAGTGTAACATCCTACATCGCCCAGGGGAGTGGATCATGTAAGCCTTATATTCACATCTCTACCTAGGTCGATGCCTTTTGGGAGCTCATTGGCTTCGGGTTCCATCGGAATTTCGAAGTTAAGCGAGTTTATGCGAGAGCAATCCCATGATGGGTGACCCACTGAGAAGTTCTCTTGTGAGTTCTTAGAAACAAAACCACTAGGGTGTGGTCAGGGTCCAAAGCAATCAATATCGTGCTACGGCGGAGTTAAGCCCATGATGTGGTGGGGACCTTGGCCGGAATGTGACAATTTGGTATAAGAGCCAATCTTTGGCCGGAAGTGTGCCGACGAGGACTTCAGGCCCCTAAGGGGGTGTATTGTAACATCCCACATCGCCCAGGAGAGTGGATCATGTAAGATATTCTCATCTCTACCTAGCACGAGGCCTTTTGGGAGCTCATTGCTTCGGGTTCCATCGGAACTCCGAAGTTAAGCGAGTTCCTGCGAGAGCAATCCCATGATGGGTGATCCACTGGGAAGTTCTCGTGTGAGTTCCCAGAAACAAAACCATGAGGTCGAGGTCGGGACCCAAAGCGGACAATATCGTGCTGCGGCGGAATCAAGCCTGGGATGTGATGGGGGCCCGAGCTGGGATATGACAGTTAGACATACAAATTAACACATAAAAACCTGTTAAGTGTAGAAGAATCATGTCAACCAAGTAGGACTAGCCTGATATTGGTCATCCTCGCTAGTTTGTCTACTATTCTTAATCTTAATTCCAATAAACCTAATTGATTGGTCATCCTCATAAATTTATCTATATATCTATATGAAAAATTCCTAAAGGTGATCAGTCATTTGAAATCTGAACCTAGAGTAAAATACGCTCAAAGATTTGAAATCCCGTAAGACATCCTTTAAAGCAATTTTTTTTGTCGGAACATTTAAAGCAATTAAATAAATAAATTACCACATTTTACGGGATATAAATTCCCATAAGATTTGAAATTTAACGTTTATGGGATTAAACAACAAAATCCACCCTTAGAAAACCTTAAACCAATGAAAAATTGGTGATTAAAATGTGGAAAATAAGTTATGAAAAGAATTGTATTTTTTATTGAATGAAAATAGTAGTTGCAAATTAATAAGATAAAATGTCATGATAAAAGATAAATGTTCCCATAAGAATGTACCCATGTACAATTATAGTAATTCATAAAAATGTAACCATATACAATTTCAACATTAAAATCATATGTACCCAATGAAATTAAAATTGCGTTCATAGCAATATAATGGCCATTGGTTATGGTTTTGCAATATAATGGTCATTTGTTAGAATTTTGCAATATAATGGTCATGGAGAAAAATAAGTTCGAAAATTTTTTTGGCAAAATTTAATTTTGGAGATACATATTCAATTTAATAATGTTGAATTTGAATACAAAGAATTTTGAGATTTTCAGCTACAAATGTTATTCAACCTTTTGAATGGATAATCTATGTGCGAGAAATTATAAATTAAATTTTGTTGTAAAAAAAAAAAAAAAGGAAAAGGTTTTTTAGCCAAAATGGTCCCTGAGATTTTGCATAACAAATCACTTTGGTCCCTGAGATTGAAAATCAATAGGAATGGTCCCTGAGATTGTCCATCATCCATTATTTTGGTCATTCTGTTAAAAACTCCGTTAAGTGTGCAAGAGCTCTTGGCCGAAAGTTTAGGCAATTTTCAAAGCTTCGTAACTCAATCGTTTATTAATCAAATTCGACCCATAATATATTAAAATGAAGATAGGAAAGTGTAGAACAAGATTACACCTGTTTGGAAGCCCAATGGTTGCCATAGATGGCCGGAAAACAGCCTGAAAAGTGACTGGTCTGAGGGAAAACTGGAAAACTCGCCGGAAACTGGGTAAATTTTAAACGTTTATAACTTCTTCAATACACAACGAAATCAAGTGATTAAAAAAAAAATCATACTTCTCGATGAGATAAAGAGAATGGTACCTTTCTCGACTGCTAAATCGTTGTGGTTTGGTCGGAAAACGGGTCGAAAGTGGCTATCTTGGTCTCTAGTTAGCCACTTTTGAGCCATTTTCCGGCCAAACAACGGAGAATTAGCCATCAAGAAAGGTATCATTCTCTTCGTCTCATTGAGAAGTATGATTTTCGTTTTGAATCACTCGATTTCGTTGAGTATTGAAGAAGTTATGAATATTTAAAGTTTACCCAGTTTCCGGCGAGTTTTTCAGTTTTCCAACGGACTAGTCACCTTTAGGCTATTTTCCAGCCATCTCCGGCAACCATTGGGCTTCTAAATGGTAAAACTTGCTCTACATTTTCTTATCTTCATTTTGATATATTCTGGGTCGAATTTGGTTAAGAAAAGATTAAGTTACGAAGCTTTGAAAATTGCCCCAACTTTCGGTCAAGAGCTCCGGAACACTTAACAGAGTTTTTAACGGAAGAACCAAAATAATGGATGGTGGACAATCTCAAGGACCAAAGTGATGTGTTATGTAAATTTCAGTGACCATTTTGGCTAAAAAGCCAAAAAATAAAATAAAAAAGATAACATGGAAGTGTGTTATTAGTATAATGCTGAGGTGTACAAAGTCAAAAGACTTTGATAAAAAAACTAAAAACCAATAAGGTTTTAGTCTATGAAATTGATGACTAAGGACTGGATCCTAATTTTTCCATAAAACAAACTCCTAAACAATTAATAAAACAAACTATGAAAGACGTCATCTGACTTGCACGCCAGTTTTTAGAGTGCATGAACACAGTCTGTAAACAAAGTGGAATAATACGATTAGTTGAAATCTTGAAAAAAGATTTATAATCAATTGTATTATATGCACTTAGTGTAGTGTAGCATACGTGTTTTTGGTTTTCTTCACATTGTTGAGAAGCGGGAGGATATTTAAATAAATTTATTACATATTATGTGATCATATGAACCATGCGTCAATATAATTCCATTTGTCAAAAAATTATGAGCTTAAACTCCCAATTGAATCACCGACGCAAGCAAAAATGATATTCACACACTCGTTTTTCGTTTTGCACTTCTCTTCATGGCAGTGTTATGATTCTTATTTGATTTGTTCGATCAAAGATCAAAGCAAGAAAGCAGTATATGAATAACATGGAGTGGGATAATTATTTACCTAAATCAAATTTGTTCTCCGACAAATAATGGAGTGGTGAGGCTGAACATTATAAATTTGTGAACGATCAAAAAAAAAAAAAAATCACACAGCTTAGGGCTCGTTTGAAAGTACTGTTAAATGATTGAAAGCCTTTTTTATTAAAATAAAACAAATATGTAGTTATGTGTTTTTTTACAAGAAGCACTTCAAATGATTTTAGAATCCAAAAACATTTTTTCTAAAAATGGTTTCAATCATTTTAAAAGTAGCAAACAAACTATTAGGTTTTCGAAGTAAAGAAGGTTCTTCCTTAACTGGCAATGACGGTTAGATACGTACCAAAATCCCGTTAAATCTATGAACTGAATTTTATTTTTTTTGCACATACGTCAAAATCAATTTTGTGTGCGAGGAAAAATAATCACCTTACATGTAAGGAACCAAGTATTTTCCGAGCAAAAATAACTCGAAAACAAAGCATATAATGCTCCATCCATATCCCAAACTTCATGTAAATCATCATAATTTTAAGACTACCATAAATTAAGGCTAAAAACTCATGTCCAAGCATTCCACCTCTTAAAATAGTACAAAAGATAAAACTCCAACTGGTAGAAGTAAACTAGGTTAAATGATACAAACACCTACCATCATACATCTTCCCGGCGGCCAACTTCCCGTCCATCGCTCGTGACGGTGGAAGAGACCTACGATCTAATATTCCATTCTGACAAGTGCAGTGGACGCGTCGGCTGATCCATACTGCATCCAGTCCTTGGCACATATGAGGGCTTCCACCGTCTCTGGTCGTAGGGAAGTCCTGTACTGATCCATTTCCTTGACCGTTGTATCAAAGACACAGTCGGAAGGAACTGTAGATACCGGAATTGACAAAATGTCACGAGCCATCTTTGAAAGCGTCGGGTACTTCATCTTGTTCAGTTTCCACCAGCCTAATACATCAAAGTCATGAACTCGGGGCAGCAGAGACTCGTCCAAATACTGATCCAGCTCCGACTTCATCTGTTGGCTGGTTGTCTCCATGATGTACATGTCAAAGTCCGTGAGTCCGTTGTCTGTTAGATTAGCTCCACCTTGGGAATCCTCTGTCTTAACGTAGTTATTCCCTTCGTCTGCATAAGTTGGTGTGAGAGGCAAAGGCAGTGTCAAATATTCATGAAAGAGCTCATGAATTCCGTCATCGACAACCTTGATATGCGTGGGAGCTTCTTCACCATAAACTTTGTTGAAACTGAACTCAACAAGCTTCATCTTGAACCTGGGATCCATAACTACCGCTGTTGCCAAAGCCAGGCTACAATTCTTCCAGTATTTTTCAACCCTTTCTTGCATTGTCTTAGTTAGGCTGCTAATGAAGGGATCCTCACTTGCAACCGTCTTAGTCAGATCTGTCTGAATCCTCCACACTTCATGGAAGAAAGTAACTGGAGTTGGGTTAGTCGTAGTGGTAAGGATGTTGGCTGCATCGAAGATAAGTTTCAAAAATGTGCAGATAGTCTCAACTTGCTTCCAGTCTTCCATTGACGGGGCTTGTTTGTAATCAGGATCAGATGTATCCAAGCAAGAAAACACTTCCTTTAACTCATAACAGGCCACCAGCATTTGATACGTTGTGTTCCATTTAGTCTGGTCATCAATTGATAGGCTCCTTTCACTTGGGACTTGGAGCTGACTCTTAAGCTCCAGAAACTTTTCTTCATGGGACTCTGATGTCTTCACATACTTTACACTATCCCGTACTTTTTTGACCACATCACTTCCTGCCGCTAACACTTCTTTTGCAATGCTGCTCAAAGTACGGGCAATGCAATGCCCAACCAATAGTTGACCATTGAGGATAAGTGGGTTCTTATTTGAAAGAAGAGGCCTTAGATTTTCAAGAGCAGTCTCACTCAGTGGCTGATCATAAGTGACTGAAAATAACTTGTTTTCCAAACTCCAATCATGAAGGCAAACAGCAACAGCATGACTAAGAGCAGAATCAGAGTCTGGATATGGTTGCATCACCACATTGAGCAGCCGCCTGTGCAACTTCCAGTCAGCATCAATGAAGTGCCCAGTAACAAACACATAACCCACGCTCTGAGAGGAAGTCCACATGTCCAAAGTAAGGCATACACGTCCAGGTATGCCCTCAATAAACTTGGTGACACTTTGCTTTTCCGTTAGGTAAGTTGCCCTCAATAAACGTGGGTTACATATATGTTTTCAAGCAGGATGCATTATACAAAATTTTATTGGGAATGTACTTACAGATTTATTTCTCAAGACTTCGGCGGCCTCTTGACGGTTCCACAACCTACTCCATTTTCCAGGGTGACCAAGAGATTTTTCAGAAATGATTACTCTAGCCATTTCTCGCAGCAAATCATGCTTATTCAACTTATTCTGCTCAACAGTTATAAGGCATCGTTCACAGAGGACACTAATTCCTATTGTTGCAGAAAATCCGCATTTATCTAATCTTTTTGCGACATAGTCCTTGTCCTCTCCAATAAAGAAACAAGATATGTCAAGAAATATAGCCTTCTCTGAACGACATAGCCCGTCAAAGCTTATTCTAAGTCGATTTACAATGTTTTCATCTGGATATCTTCCCAATTCCTCCAATTGGCTTTCCCACTCTGCCAACGATCTTTTAATCAAAAGAGATCCTAAAACTTCAAGCGAGAGTGGTAAACCTCCACAGTAAGAAACAACCTTTTCTGAAACTTCAAGGTATCCTTGATCAGGACAACTATTTTTAAAGGCATGCCAACTAAATAGCTCAAGAGCTTCTTCTTCATTCATTTTCTTAGCCTGAAATTTTTTGTTCACATTTAGTAGTAGACGTTCATCTCGTGTCGTTATAATAATTCTACTTCCAAGACCAAACCAATCATGACTTCCAACTATTGCATCCAGTTGTTCCTCTTTATCAATGTTGTCCACGATGACAAGTATCTTTCTATGTCGAAATTGTTGTTTTATCAGACCTATACCTTCGTCAACATAGCTTATTTCAGGCTTCTTTTTCAAGATGTCAGAAATAAGTTTTTTTTGCACATCAACCAGATCATGTTTACTTGTAGCATCGCGAACGTCGGCAAGGAAACTTTTGAATTCAAACTGAGGATGAATTTGGTTATAAATGGCTTTGGCAGCTGTTGTTTTACCCAATCCACCCATCCCCCAAATTCCAACCATAAGAACATCATTTGATCCACCACTTGAAAGACAACTGATAATATCTTGAACGCGTGAATTGATTCCAACTATGTGCTTGGCCACATGTAATTTGTTAGTGCTGGTGAGCCATTGACAAATAGTTTCGTCAATAATTTTTTTAATGAACTTTGCTCGCCCCTGAAAATTGAATTCGTAAGCATTAGTGGAAATCAATGAAGGCTCGGTAGGAGATATCAGTACATATACAATTTTCTTTCCTTCTTCCCTTCATATAATATAATATATATATATATATATATATATATATATATATATATATATATATATATATATATATATATAAAGAACTTGAATAAAAGAATTCATTGATAAATAAAAGTTAGGCGTATGAATTAAACTCCAATTACGGTTTAGGTTACTTATGAGAGATTAAGGTGTATTCATTAAGCATGTGAATGAATGTTTAGATTATGTAAAATGTTAATTAAGCATGTCAATTAATTCAGAGATTAAGTCAATCACTAAAATTAGCAGCTTATGTGAAGGATCAACTTGAGAGATTAAGGTGTATTAATTAAGCATGTTAATTAGAATAATACAACTCAAATCTTGAAAAGCAGCTGAATGATTACCCATTGTTAGCGATTTTATGATGGTGGCCAGACAAATTTGCAGCCTTTGTGAGAGCCTCTCTCCACTGCTACCCTTTCTTGTTTAGCTTCACGTTTCTTGTCATCTTTTTCTTCACGGATGTCCTTTTTGTGCTTCTGAAATGCTTCGGTTAAATCTCCGTCCTGCTTCCTGACATGCGAAGGATCAACGTGATAGAATATTGGTAAAACATGTCGCCCCAGTTTGTCTCTACACTCCATGATCTTCACCAGCTCGTCAAGACACCAACTCGAATCCGCATACATCTTTGAGAAGATAATGACAGAGATCCTCGACTCTTCGATTGCACGAAACAGTTTCTCTTTTATTTCTTCCCCTCTTGGTAGATCGTCCTCATCAATAAACACCTGGTACCCTCTGGCTTCTAATGCCGCGTGGAGGTGGCTCGTGAAGCCATAGCGCGTGTCTTCACCCCTGAAGCTCAAGAATACGTCGTACTAAATAATACACTATTATGGTACAAAAATAAGAAAGCTGAGCCGAATCAAATAGCTTGGGTAAGAGAAGTTACTAAATTCCGTGTGGAGGATTTTCGAGGAATTCGAGTAGTCGGCAGCTTTGGAAACTTTGGCTCACAGATGGCCACAGTGAGGTAGCAGCTGTGGAGTACTCTCATATCCCAGCACCACTCATATACAATGAATTTGGAAGTTTTAGGAGAGAGAAAGAGACCTGCACTTGAAAAAAATATTATCTCCTTCTTCAACTTGCAACTAACAAACAAAAAAAATCACTTTAATGGCCCGTTTATGTAAGGGTAATCAGAATCAGGAAACGGAATTGAATTCCGATTACGGAATACTTTACCAAATTTAAGGAAATCAAAGTTTAGTGGTCCCACACAAATTTTGGAATCCAATTCCGAAATTTGGAGGAATTAGACTCCTAACAATTAGATGGTATTTGGATTCCGGAGGATTGAGGCGGTGAGGAATCCATTTTTGTTACCCATTGTGCCCTCGCATAAAAGTTGAAATTCCAAATAAACCCAAGCTCTCGTCCCCAGTGTTATCCCTCTCCTTCTCCCTCACCAAACAACAGCAAACCCAAAACCAATTTAAAGAAAAATCTGAACAGAATCGACAGCTCATACAAATGAAAAGGATTGAGAGGAACTCACTCAACATGAAAGTATTCTAAACGAAAAAAATGGGAAACTGATTCAGAAGCTGGCATCAAAATTCGAGGAAACCCATGTACTTGGATAATTCCAATGATGGATGATCAGATGAGAGAAGCACGTACCTCAATCAAACAAAATCGAGGGTAGCAATCGGATTGAGGAAGATCGAATGGAATCGAGGACGCAAGAAACAAAGACCTCTTCTTCCTCTCAGTCTCCAAGTCGTCCTTTCTTCAGTCTCTCTCTTACTTTCCTTTTTCTTTTTCTGTTTTCCTATTTTTCAATAATATGTAGCGCACTTTTAAATTTGTGTCGTGTTGAGGCAAGTATATAACATATACACATCCAATAACTTTATATGAACGTAATTTATTTATGTAAGAGCAATATAGTAATCAACCTATTTTTCATTCCTTAATTATGGAGGAATGGGGGAGTTTGGCGGAAGTGAGTCCTGCTAGCATTTCGTTTTCAATCCTCTTATTTCATCTGCAATGTCAACTGGCTAAATTGATCAGCTAATCGTTCAATATCCCTCCCTGTCAAAGATAATCGCTTCCGCGTCCACAAGATTTTGGTAGTACTTAAGTAAATGTTTTCAAGGCCTGCAAAGCAGTACGCCTGGTATAATTAATAACAGTAATTTCAAGAGGATCTTTAGGTTGTTCATTTAACGAGTAAATACATCAGACAACCACCTATTTAAAATTACGATCATCACTTTTAAGCATAACAAAGTCGGCTACATTCACCTAATAAGCAAACTCAAACAACTCAAGAATACTATAAATCCAATTGAGATAAATGTCACCGTATCCGCAAGAAGTCCATCCTTATACATGTTGAAGAGTACAAGGATCTCACATCAGATTTGTTAAAATTAAAGATGAATTATATTGTGCAATTTCCACTCTTAATTATATCAAAGTATTTTGTGATAAAATATTCACATATGAAGTGTTGTGCATGTACGAAAATTCAAGTTGATAGAAAGTATTGATGTTGTTAATGATGGGTCATTGTAGAGCATGCGATAAAATTTTCAAAGCTGTTATATCAAAGCCGTTTGTATAACGTTAATAGATGAGCCCTTAACTTATATGTTAGCTACCATTAGCTAGTAAACATTACTATACCAACAAGCCACCAAAGTCTATGTGCTATATTATAAATAAAACTGGTCTCTATGAAAAAAAAACACTTTGTAAAACGGATAAGCACTTTACAAACCACTTCTGTTTGTCACTTTTCTTTTCTAAAAGCCATTTTTGTATATAAGCACTTTGGTTTGGCCTGACAGGTTCCAGATGTGCTTCAAGGGAATGTGTTTTTGGCTGGGAATTGAGCAAGGTAAGGAAATATCTGTTTATGACGCTTTTGATGACCCAGAAGGCAGGAGAGTGATCATTTCTTTCGATACAAGTCGCGAGATATTTCATGGTATACCCGAACCATCTGAGCTCCAACGATTACCCCTGGGGCGTGACCTTGATTTGAAGCTTATTGTGTGGAATGAATCAGTTTCTTATGGTTCACAATGATGGATGCGTAGTTTGCTTTAATCTTTGTACGAAAAAGCTTACATATATTCCCACTGAAACATGAGGTGAGTTTGTTGGTTATGTGAATAGCGTAGTTTCGGTCATGAGACGCAACCACAAGCCTGAGAGCAAAGAAAATAATTGCTTAGACAAAGATGAAGATGCGATGGTGGCGGTAGAAGGCAAGAGGGAAAGCTGCAGGAGGCGGTACTCATATTCTGTTTGGGCCATTCCACTAGCTGATGTTTCAAGGGCCTCCGGGCAGAGTTTGGTGGGCCGGAGATTAGCCTCACATCCTTATATTGGGATCCATCCATATTATGAGTCGCGATGACGCTCTTAACAAGTTTAGATCTTCCTCACTGATGATTACGAGGAATTACCATCACCAGTGTGTTTCCTTGTTGATGGATTGAAACGTATATATTTTCCCGATCGCTTGCTAATTGCTATTCATTTTCTTCATGTTTTCTTCTGTTTTGTTTCCTTTTCCTCTTTCTCATTTTGGTTTCTTGAGCTGGTTTAGACGCACTAATTATCAACTTTTATGTTATTAGTTATTTCAAAGTACCAAATCTACATTTCGATTTCTACTCCAGTAAGTTGTTGTTTACGTTAACCTTTGAGCTGGTGTTTTTTTGTTTTCACAAAAGCTTCCTTCTTAATTTCTTCTTGTTGTTTACGGGAATGTTCATATGTAATCTGTCTGTCTGCAATATTTGATGGATGCAGGTTCAACGAAACATAATTATATAAGATCCTGCCAAAATTAGATCACCTTCAACTTTATCCCTGCCTTGCAAATTGAGCTTCAGAACACGAGTTGGATTGCAAATGATGGCAAAATGTTTTAAAGCGGATAAAATTTTGGAGATTTTCTATTGAGAAATCCATCCTTAGTCTTGCGGAGGAGATTTTTTATCCTAACGTGAACAGCCCTACAATTTATTCAACTCTCATAGTCTCACTATCTCTAAATGGTAAAGGCTAAGAGACTCAGGTGTCGAGCTGAATGTTACCTGAACAAGTAGATGATGAATAATCAAGAGACAAAGAGAGGCGTGTAAGAGGATCTTCGTCCATTGGGTCGGATATCTGATCTCCTCTATCACAGACTGCCGGACCTTGTGGCTTCCAATGATGAATAGATAAAGAAAGACACGTACGAAGATCTTCGTCCATTGGGTCGGATATCTGATATCCTCTGTCACTGACTGCTGGACCCTGTGGCTTCCAATGATGAGACTGAGAAAGGCGCGTAAGAAAATCTTCCTCCATTGGGTCGGCTATCTGATCTCCTCTGTCATTGACTGCCGAACCCTGTGACTGGAAGAATACTGAGAGATTCCCAGAACGAGTTTGAGGCTGAATATGATGGCCTGCAGGAAAAGGATTAGAAGATAAGGAAAAATGTGAATGCTCAGAGAACCATGATCATGCACTGCTATAGTACTACCGATGTACTTGCTGAGATCATAATCATCTGATGACTCCTCATAGAACCGAGCTGGATGTTAGTCAAAAACATAACTAGCTTTGTCCAAATCATGCGTATTTTCCTTCAAAGGTTTGTTCCACACCAGATTAACCATTGTTCTCACTGATGATGGCAAATAATTACCAGATTTTCTTGAAAATATGACTTCAACTTTATCCCCACTTTGCAATTTGAACTTATCGTTCGATAGTTGTCCTTGCCAAAGTACAAGCGTATCCCAAAATTCGCTGCATAAGTAAGCCTGCAACTCGGTACGCTTGGTATTATTTATAACAGTAATGCCAAATTCAAAATAATTCATAATTGAATATTTGCTCCAGAAGCACAGAGTCATCCCTTCAAAAGTACGACCATCATTCGGGGGAATATCAAAACTGAATGTATTGCCATGGTTAAGAAACTCAAACCAATCAGGAACAAAATTCCCATGGAGTAAAGCGCCACCAAATCCGCACGAAGTCCATCCCTACATATACAATGCAAGTGTCATGTATATATACATGTAAACATGCGTATGCGTGTGCATGTGCACGATAGGAAGGCAATGAGAGAGAGAGAGAGAGAGTGTGAGATACCTGTAGGATGTTCTTCCCAAAATCAGATGTGAGATTGGTGCAGTTAATTACTCATATCAATCAACGTCATGAAGTTTAATGACTTATCCAAGCCTGGAACCTCAGTGAGTTTGGGTGAATCACTTACCTTCAACTCTGTCATATTTGACATTTCCGAAAAATTGGGCATTGTTTCCAATGCAGGACAATGAAGGGCATACAGAAATTTCAAATTTGTTGGTAAATCTGGGATTGTACGAAGGTTAAAGCAGTCATTTAACCTCAATGTTTCAAGCTTTGTAAGACCACTGAGGCCGGGTAGGGTATGAAAATCAGTCCCTTGAAGATCCAAAACTTGTAAAGAAATTAGACTCCCAAGATACTCAGGGATTGCATCATGTGCAAAATGCACACCATTTAGGGATAAAAGAGTGAGATTCTTCAATCTAATTGTGGAAGATGGTATTTGTCTTATGACTGTATAGTCTGCTTCAAGTATTCTCAATGATATCATCTCCCCTAAATCCTTATGCACTTCTCTGAAACTTGTACACCAATTAAGAAGAAGAGTCTCAACAGATTTCAACTTATAGAAATCCCTTGGAAGAGAACTAAGCTTTTTGCATTCTTTAAGGTTCACCAAAGAAAGTTTTTGAAGTTGACCAATGGAGGGGTGAATCTCGGACAGACTCCCACAATCTTCCAGTATCAACTCTTCAAGATTTGGGACTTGTGAAAAGTCCGGTGATTTAATTAGAGATAGGGAATGACTGAGATTCAGAATTTTCAACCTCTCTAGCAACTGTTACAGAAGACCAAAGGAAAATTGAAATTAATATCCAAAAGGAAGATGTCACAAAAAAAGAAGGAAATCCAAAAACAAATAGAAACAGAACATCATCATGTGTAATTGATCGTACCTTATAACCCTCCCAAACTTGTACCAGTTTGCTGTACTGCATATCTAAAACAACTAGTCTTGGTTGATCAAAAAAGTCAGCTGGTATGGACTTTAAAGAGCTTCCTACCCAACACAACCATATTATATCCTTGGGAAGATGCTTGTATTCTCCATTAAGCTGTACCCAATATAGCCAGAGCAATCGCAATTTCTTCATATTGGCAAATGCTTCTATACTGTAACTAAGTTTGCCATAAGAGATACTTAGAGCAAGTCCTTCAACTTCTTCAGTTCCCTGTTAACAAAAGGTTATATTCATGTGTAAGAAATGGATT